TCAAAACAAAAATATTTTTAAAGATCACTGATGATAGATATTTGGCAAAATCTGAAACAGCTGAATGAGCAGCTCAAAATTAACTCAAAAATACAATAAATATATTTAATTTTTTTTCTATTGGAAATGAACTCATCTTTTATTAGACAAAAATGACTAATAAGTGAAATTTATTGCTAATAAATTGGACTAGAAAATTGCACAATAATTAGTGAGACTACACTATTGTTATATTAAAATTTGCAGTTGTTATAGATACAAGCAAATATTATGTGATATATTTTATTTGTTTTTTACTACGTGCTTCACTAAATCATATATAAATAAATCTTATATTGTTCTCTTATGCAATATTATTCCAATTCACAAAAGCTATTGGTGTAAGAAACCCATCAACTATTATAATAATCATTTTGATAATAGTTGTACTAATGATTACAACTGCATCAAGAAATTGTGGTTTATTTATATATATATATATTAATCTATATTAATCATTCCGTATTATGGAATTTGTACTGTTTTTAGTACTTATGTTAATGGCCAAATGCATGACAAAGCGTCTAGTGTTCACTTAGCACTTTCATCGATATTTTTTTAAAGAGAAATTGCCTATATATACCCGCATTTTCGTACCTATATATATCCGTATCATATCATTATTATTATCGTTATCTCATTTATTATTTATAATTTTTATTTTTAATAATTTAAATATATTCGGTGTAAAAAATATCCAGACGGTTTAATTTGCAAAACGTGCTTAAACGAAATGTAAACATTTTTGCGTTTTGGCAAAAAACGCAACGAATGCGATCGACCAAGCACCTTACTTCTCTGACTGAAAAATATATAGAGCATTTGAAGATTTTATATCAAGGAGCCTATGATTGAATTCCCTCCCTAAGGAAGGATAATGGGATGAATCGCAGGCATAGTTCAACGGCTATTTTAAAGATGACAAAATAAATGTTGATCGATTATAAATTGTCGTATGTTTTTTTTAATAATTTAGCCTGTTTTTATTTCTTGAGTGTAGGGCAGGATTAAAGCAACAGAGTCAGTTGAATTTTGCGCCCGAGCTTGAATAAAAATTCCGGATATTATGTACACAAAATGTACACAAAATACAAATATAAATCAAGAAAAAATATAATTTATAAAAATTATAAAAAATAAATATAATAAATAAAAATTATTTATATATAATATAAATATATATTAAAGATTATTAGCTTATAATAAATATAAACTAAAGATTTAATTAAATGAAATAAAAATAAATATTATAAATACATAATATTATGTATATTTAATTCGTTAATTGTTGTATACTTAATTAGTATAGTATTAGTATTTATTAATATAATAATAGTTATTATAAATATAGTACTAATAATAATTTATCTCAATTATTATTATATATATATATAAATAAATATAGTATATACTACTACTTTTATTATATTTAAGTATAATAATATTTCAATATTTATTATCATTTATATTGATATACTATTACACTATAATTATTAATTACATTATACTTAGTTATATTATTATTTATATTTAATATTATTATTTAATTTAATTAACGATTTAATTTCATTAATTAAATACAAAATATTTAGTTTATTATATTCTATCTTAAAGAAGAAATCAACTCAAGTTCGAAATAGGAAATTTATATATAAATTAATAAAATAATAATAAAAAAAATAAAATATTAACAGAGTTTATAAATTCTTATACAACAAAAATCAATATTCCTATTCTACGGAATGTCTGGCGGAATAATAATACTATAGTAAGTTGTAAAGATTGCGTGATAATTCCAGTATCTAAGAAAAGGAATTCAAGCTACTACAGCAAATGACGTATCATTATGTTATTAAATCCTCTTTAAACTACACCTGATTTGAACTGTCAGTTGAGAAGAAAGCAAAATGCCTGGAACTGATAGCTTATTTGTCGATCACAGACTTTATCGGGTAAAATTGAATAGTCAGAGGAATAGCAATTTCCATAATTCTCGTTATGCGCCGACTTTAAAAGAGACTTTGACAGTTTGAAAGGAAAATACTATCGAACTTACAGAAAATATATATGAAAAGAATGGCTATATGATTCGCTTTAAAAACAAAAATAGGAAGAATTTAAAAGTAATTCTAGGAGTTGCATACTATCTAATATTTATTATAGTGCTGGGCACTGTACTCAGAAAGATTACACGGTGCACACGGAGATCAAGGGATTTCTTTAGAAACATTAGTTGACCATAACTATGTTCATGACATAATCATCACAACGCATACCCCAAATTGGAAGCTTTAAAGGCAATCGCTGCCGAAATAAGACTGCGGATATATATTTGATGCTAATCCCTGATGATATCGATAAATTGTGCTTCCTTGAAGATATAATCACAACATATATTAAACAAATCAACTGCATATAACTAAAAATATTAATATTTAATTATATTAATTTAACATTAATATTAAGTTTCACCCATGAGAATATTGATTAATTACTCTCTTAAATTTAGGTTTTCAGATTAATTTAGGTTCAGACTTTTTTTCGAAAATGTTTATTGACCTAATAATTAATAATTATATTAAACAAAAACATGTTTTTGTTCGCAACTTGATTTATTCATTGGGGGTTATCATTGATTCCTGTCGGTACCATATTTTTTGTTTGCAAATCCGTCCGGAAAAAGTTCAAGTCAATATTGCAACTGTTAATGATGCTAATTGTTTTTTAAAAATCTTACTAATACACCGAAAATAGAAATTTTATTCGCTTTGGAAAGATTAAACAATATTTGACTTAAAGTGTGACGGCGTTAATTTATTTTAATTAACTTTTCAAAAATACTATAATTTAAGAAAAAATAAAAATTTAATATTTATATTTAATTTAATGCAAGCACAAGTTAGTATTAATATTTTAGCAAAATACATTCAACAATAATATTTACAATATTAAAAAAAATATATTAACTATAACAGTTACGAATTGTTAATAACAACAGCCTCTCTACTAATGAATTATTCAGATGGGATTGTTAAATGATTATGCATCCAATTAGAAAAAACTGTTGCTCAATAATTTAAGCATTTTTCATTAGAATTAAGTAAATATCCATTACAAAGCAAATTAATTACTTAAACTTTAATTATGTCATTTACACACAAATAAATATAATTCTGTGAGAAAGTGAACTCTGTTAATGATATCTTTCTTTTTATTCGGTAACATATAGAAGTTAGTATTGTCCTTACGAAATAGAAATGGAATAGAGTACTTAATATTCGTTACCTTAAGTTAGTTTCTTATCTATTCAATATTTTATGAGTTTGTCAACTTACTCACGTAATCAACGCGTACTTAATCAGGCTAAAAAAAACAGTCTTATATATTCCGAATTATTTACATAATTTATATATTTATATATGTTCGAAAACCTCTTTACATAAAAATATATATAAATATTCTGCCAATGCCAAATATTATAATATTGTGGTTATTTAATGAATGGAGTGGTAATTATCTCTTATCTCGAAGCACATTTCTAGTCATTTACCACAAAGTAGGACACAGTTACAGTTAAATTTAAAATAGTTCCAGAATTATAAATTTTCAATTAGACCCGGAAAAAAATGCAAATATAAAGAGATTGCGTCCCATCTATTTGAGATTTATATAACATATTATAAACTTATTTAACATTCAAATTCTTTATGATAAATTAAGCATAAAATTTATCATCATCATAATAAATTTATTTAATACCATGTAAAGCATAGGATATCGGTAAAATATCTGAACCGTTTTCGGTTTTCTGTTAGTCACTTAGTTCCATTTTAAGAACGTTCCGATCCATATGCCTCTTTTATTTAATACATCCCTAAAAAACATTAGTTAAAGGATACTTAATCCTAAAAACTAATGTACAAGTTCTGTTGAAATTGTTGTTTCGTTGTTCTTATTCTATTGCCCTGTGAATTCTAGTCAAGAATATACCAATAATTTTCATAAAAAAACATTAGATTAAATAGTACTTAATATCAGAAACCAATGTACAACTTCTGGATGTTAATTAAGAGCGTGCCGAAAAATTTCAGAAGAAAAACAGTTTAAATCACTACATTAAAGAAAACTTAATATAATAAATCAATATATAGTACAATAAAGTTTTTGTAATAAGATTTTCTTGAAACGAAAAGATTATAATAACCAGTACTCAGCATTAGGGATGCTTAATACTAGAAATCAATGTACAATGATTCAGTTACCCTTAAGAAAACCCTTAGTAAACTAATACATAATACAGTTTTTGTAATAGAAATTTCTTAAGACAAACAATTTAGAATGACCAATATCCACTATTACCGATAATTAATACTTAGAACCATTGTACAATATAGGTACAGTTGCCATTGTTCTGTTGTTACTCTATGCCCTTAGATTCCACTCAAGAATATGTCCAAAAATTCTAAGAGGATATATTAGATTAATGGGTACTTATAATAGAGAAATCAATATTTCTCACTTTTAAAAACTATATATAATGGAATTTTTTCAATTAAATGTTTTTATATAAACTTTAAATCACTTTTTATTTGAATCTTCTTATATAGCAATATTTATGACTGTTGATGCTTAAGTAATATAAGCTCTCATTTAGCACTAAGTATCTCGAATGTTTATATTAAATCAAGCTGTCGTCTTTTGAACTTATGCCTTTTAGAAACAAACCCCATGTATAATATATAAATAAACTGTCTCAAAACGTTTAAATACACTTCACAATTGATTTTTGTTTAATATTTTTAAATGCATAATAATTATTAAAATCAGGGATTTGGATAATAGGGACTACAAATACTAACACGACACTTGTAAAAAGACAGGTTTAAATTTTACGAGATATATTAAAAAATTATTTGCTTTAAATAAAATTTAAATTTCATTAAACTTATGAATTTACTTACTGAGTATTGTCGTCATGGCTGGGAGCCTTGCTGGTGTCGTAAAATGATAATTTCCTGTTAGCAAATACCAAGTTTAAAAACGGAGGAGTACGTAACTTGCGCTGTAAATATATAAATAAAATAATTGTTTTAATTTTAGTTTTCTTTTATATATATTAAACAATATGTGTTATGCAAATAATATAGAACATTAACATAAGCTACTTATTTTTAATAATGTTAAATGTCAAATGTCAAAGAACAGAACACATGTTAACTTAACAGCGTGTTAAGTGCGAACAGAGCCATAAAAATATTCTCTAATTGGCCGATTAGTAACAATAATGCAAACGCTTTGGGAATATTTAGACCGTAGGTAACCGTGCCCTTTCCGGCGGTAATAAATAAACATTAGCGTTAAATGGTGTTAGCAAAGAAAAAAAAATAACTTAATAAGTTAAGTTAGTTTTATTTATTTAAGTAATGAATTGAAATGTATTAGCACAGTTATATTTAATAAAACAGTTATTTGAAACAATAAACACAGAGCAAACAGAAACGACACACAGGGACAATGTTTTCTTCGATGTGTTGTCATTTGCTGTTAAAAGTGTTAACTGACATCAATTAGACTGATTGTTCAGAGCTACAAATTTTCCTTACCATTTGATTTCTTTCAATATCTATCAATTATTATCTATTAAAACTACTCGTGTACAAACATTTCAATTAAGTGGAGTAATAACAAATCAATTGCCACAACCAGCAACAAATTCTGACCCAACAACAGTTTGAGAGTTCAGTTCAGTTTAACATGCAAATTAACAGAGCGTAGAACAGAACAGACATTTGAAAAAATTGCCTTAGCAACCAAACGCCAACAGTGCGGCGGGTATAATTTCTAAGATGAAATATCAAGCAAAACAAAACTGAATGTTCTTCATCACTTTGAAGGCGGTAAAGACATATACATTGTACATCTTGTATATGACATAATTAATAAAATTATAAAATTAGTGTTCATTAATTATTACACAAATTTATGCAAAAAATGTGCAAATTACTTTGCACGTGATTTTAGTGCTCCTCAGAAACCACCACAATCACCACTTCACGCTGAACAGGTTTTATCGAAATAAAGAAAAAATTCCCAAAAATTATTAAAGTCAACAAATCCACTGCAAATGAGATATAAGTTCGTCATATGGTCGAAATTGTTATTGTATTTATAAATACATATATACTATAGACCGGCGAATCAACTACGTACGTACGTATGTATTTTAATGTGATTGTCACATGCTATACTTTTTAAATATTTAAATAATTTATTTAAAGAAACAAAACAATAAAAAAACAAAAATATTTTGCCACTGAAATCACGGGCTAAATCGCAAAAGTAATTATGGGGGCGAGTTAATCACGTTGTGACGACAACAGATCAAGATAAACAAAACCATTTGTTTGGCATACGGAACCAATTTAATATAAGAAATCATAATATAATGTAATATAATAAACCCAAATTTAATAAGCTGTTAATTATTGGTTAAATCCTTTTACAAATGTCAGATATCACAGATGAAATAAAAACACAAAAGAATATTGATAAAATGATGTCTATCTGTATAAGTATCTATTTATTTGTCTATTATGTATTTATTAAACTGCTTATGATTCTCTATAGTGTAAAAAAGTTGTATTAAATCTACCAAGATATGTATGTATGAGACCTCAAAACCATAACGTATTTCTTGATCAATATTCGTGATCAACATGACAAAACAAAACGGTTATATGATGTCTATCTGCCTAACTATCTATTTATATAGATAATATAAATAATATACAGATAATAGATAATATAGATAATAGATCATAGACAGCTATTTGGTAAATTGTTATTTAATATTTAAGATCTTCATACATATAGTCTGCAAAATGGTATATTAACACATATATAAAACATATATAATAAAACATATATTATTCGTGATCAACATGACAAAACAAATATAATATATTATAATATAGATAATATATAGATAATAGATAATATAAATAATAGGCAGTTATTTGGTAAATCGATATTTAATGTTTAAGCCCTTCATACATGTAGTTTGCAAAAAGGTATATTAAAAATTCCACGATAATTGGTAAATATCAAGGACCATATAAAGTATACATATTCTAGAGCAATATGCAAAACGAATCGATACAGTGGTTATCCAGCGGTATGACTATATACCTATTTTTGGTCTATTTATTTATCTATCTATTTCAAAACCGAGAAACTTTCAGTGTATGTTTCTGTCTAACTGCTAGTTTATCTAACTATCTGCTTCAACAATATTACGCTTAAGAAACCAACTATGAATATGTAAGGTACTATAAATTATATTAGGTACCACTATTAAAAACTAGATCATTCATTTAAAAAAAGACTATAGCTGAAGTGTAATAATAATAGAAGTAATAATAATAATAATAATAGTAATAATAATAATAATAAAAATAATAATAATAATTATAGAAATAATAATAATAATAATAATAATAATAGAAATAATAATAATAATAATAGAAATAATAATAATAATAATAATAGAAATAATAATAATAATAATAATAGAAATAATAATAATAATAATAATAAAAACGGATTATAAATAAAGCAAAGTTAATAGGATGTTACAAAATCCGCCAGATAGAATAATAACACATTCTATTTTAACAAGTAGTATTTCCCAGTTGTGTACTGATACATTTTATTTCGACATCATTGTGAGTTCAGAAAATCTACATTAATCTACAAAAGAGCAACCCTTATTTTTTCTCAAGAAACAAAATTTTTCTCAAGAAAACATATATGTAGAAAACTGTGAAGTGTTGTTGTGATCCTGTGAAGTATAATTTTTGGATCAGTGTTTACGACTATGTACATTGGATGAACAAATGAAAACATGGTGCGACATCCTACTGCAATATATATCACTTAGATGATATAACTTATTTCAATTAACGAATATTGAAACGAATATTCTTAACAACAATACAAAATCATCAAAGGTACTTGAGCACCTCATTAAAAGCCCTAATTATCGGTTACAACAACTAGGGTTATCACAATAGACCATATAAGTCGCGGTTTATATTGTAGTATATCCCACATAATCAATAATTAATTATTTGATTTGACAAATCGTAAATAACCCATATCGTTACTAAACTTTAATTTCAGAAATTCTGTTAGGAATTTCTTCATTACTTGCCATTTTCTTGAGATTTCATTTAAAGCTATGATTTATTTTTATAAGCCAAAGAAAATGGTTTGATGGAATGAGTTTTATCTCAAATCACAGTAACACATACTTTTTTAAAGGTCTCGAAGAGACGAATGATTAAGAAACTCTAAAAATTATAAATTAGTCTAATTAACTTAAAGGAATGTGTGCCTTTGTAACAGATTTATATAAAATATAGTTGATGGGTTTTGATATGCTTATTATTTGTTATACTATAAAATCGGTACTAAATCTTTTTAAGAATTTTTAAAGATTTATTATATTTAACCTTTATAAATTACATAGAAATTAAAAGTAAAACCTGCGACTACTATTATTATATATCATCATTTTGTCAAAACTATTTCCTTTATAAATTTATATTTAAATGTGTTAGGGTTGGTTTTTTACTATGTTCTTTGATAATAATTTTAATAGGTTTACAATAAAAATAGACCCAAAGATATATATTAACCCCTACACAGCAAACTTTATATATTTTGATCAATTTTTTTATATTCTTAATTTAATTTCGAATAAAAAAGAACGTTTTTGATAGACAACTGTCAAAATCAAGCAAAACATTAAATTAATAAATAAATTTTACCAAAAATAATATATGAAAGCAAGTGGGTGTAGAGATGGGTGTGTTTTTTCGTTACATGGCATTTTGCCAAATATCACACCCTGGCAACAAAAACTTAACTCTATTGTTAGGGAAATATGCGAATAATCCAAAACGAACAAAATACTACGCATTCATTAAATAGCAAACTCGCATGATATACTTTTTCTATTCAAACTGTTTATTCCTCTCTATAAATGAATGGAGTGTTCAAAAATATTTACATTACACATTGTTTATTTACAATAGAATAACCCACGAGCAGTTTCTGAAAATATAATAATAATAAACTAGCACTAATATTATTATATATTCACGTGTTAGATCGATTTATGTTAGCGTAGCAAATATAATTTTGTAAACAGTCAGGAAGTGTGGCTCTATCGGATGCATTGCTCTATATACCTGTGCTCTACTAATTATTTATACTAATTACTATTTATACTGCAAATGTATTTATATTTTATTTATTTACATTAGTTACACTAAAAACATTTTAAATTAATTTTACATTAGAGTCTAAATTCTTAAAGTTATCTAATTTTATAACAAGTGATATCTTTATTCTGTTAAAGTATATCATTAATTATTATTCAAATATACTTAGTTGCTATAAATTAAATTAAAGAAATGTATGATAGTGCAGTGCTTAAAAATTGCTTTAGTATAATCTTATAAATTATCTCGAAGATACAATTTTATTTAATTCGTAAACTATTTCTATTAAATAAAACTACAAAACTAGTAGGAGATGATAGAAAATCTTTCGTTGAATTCTGCTTTTTTTAAAGAGAACCTGTGTTAGAACTTTTTATAATAATATTTTAAAAATATAAACCTATATGAAAATATCTAATAATAAGAATCTTACTCTCATATGACTCATAAATTTTATTTTATTTTATTATAATTTTTTATTTTATTTTAATATTTATTTCTAAAATTATTCCTATTGTTGCTTAACACCTAACTTAAAAATTTCCTAGTTTTCATATACACAGAAATCAGAAACCATAGTCAGTAACTTTCATAATAAAGAGAGGATATTGCTTTAAAATTTCATTCGATAGTCCGGCAAATCTTTAAAATAATTCGATATAGTCCCTCTACATGCATTATGTTCGCAAAATAACAGTAAAAATTATATATCCGCAAAACGTCATTAGATTAATTTATATATAAAATGAATACGCCGGTTGTTAGGTTAAAAATG